AACCAGAAGTAAAAATTTTAAGTCTGTCCCCAGAACTAAAAATAAACCTAGGCTAGTGTCCAGGAACAGGGAACAGTTAATAAGTACTGGAGGAAGCCTCTAATCTTGCTTCCGCTCAACCCTTCTCCCTCAATGAAACCAGAGAGAGAACTCTAAAAGTCAGGCCTCCCTGGGCCACTCTCCCACTTAACACTCTTCTGTTCAGAATCCACCCTGTCACGCCCACAAAACTGCACAGGGACTATCCTGAGGCTTCCTTCTGGCTTGGGGTCTTGCCTCTCATCCTCCTCCCCTTGAATTCTGCATTTGAGCCTCTTCTCCGGGCCTTTTCACATGTTGTTCCCTCTGCCTGGAACACTCTTCCACCAACCCTTATCATCTCTTTGCTTAGCTAACTGCTGTTCACATTTAAAATCTCAGCTGGAATTCTGATCCAGAGACTCAGTTAAATCCTTGCTGGAAACTTCCAGAGCACCACAAACAATACTCAGCACGTGCTCTGCTATACTTACTGGTTTCAGTGCTTGCTCTCCATGTCCTCACTGGCTGGGACTCCTCACTTGCTCACCCCTGACTCTCAAGTTCTTTTTTTTTAATTTATTTGCAACTTTGCTTTTATTTTTAAAATATTTTATTTTAGTTTTTAAAGTAACCTCTACTCCCAGCTTGGGGCTTGAACTCACACTCCCAAGATCAAGAGTCACATGCTCCACCAACTGAGCCAGGCAGGCACCCCAACTTAGCTTTTATTTTTGTTAAAGTTATATGTGCACAGAGTTAAGAGAATCAAATAGTTCTATAAGGCCTATAACCCTTGTTAACATTTCCTGTTCCCCAGAGGCAATGCTTTGAAACTTTTAACTGATTATTTTTGTACTTATCTCTTATATGTTTAATTAACAAGCATATACTGCTACCTCTTGATTTTTCAGTTTCAAGCATCTACTGATCTCTCGCAATAGATGATGAGTATTTAGATCTCTTGCACACACTCCCCTTCTCCCTATCATACCTGCATGCGTCCTGTCCCTCTATCTTTTCCTTTCTACAGGGGTTACTTACATCTGGCTAGATCAGCATTCATTGTTTACATTATTATAGTTATGCAAATATTATTGACAACTGAGCCATGTGATTTACCATACTTCTTTTCTATGCATTTTATTTTTCCTTCTTTTTAAAAAAATTTTTAACGTTTTATTTATTGTTGACAGAGAAAGACAGAGCATGAACAGGGGAGGGGCAGAGAGGGGGAGACACAGAATCGGAAGCAGGATCCAGGCTCTGAGCTGGCCGTCAGCACAAAGCCCAACGATGCGGGGCTCGACCTCACAAACTTTAAGGTCATGACCTCAGCCGAAGTCGGATGCTTAACCGACTGAGCCACCCAGGTTTCTGCTGTTGTTAAATATATATGAATATTTGCTTAGTTCTCTATGCGTTTATCCCTAATATATCTCAAAACTTTCCTCAAACTGTGTATATTCAGCACATGAATTTCATCTTGAAGAAGTCTTTCAAAGCCTTTCGCTCCTCCAGGCTGGGCTGGTTGACTCACAGCCTGATGCACAGGGGCCTCTGCTCCCCTCACCCTGGGATCCTTACCACCTCTCTCTAGGCTGCACCCACCCTTTCCTGGATCCCGCATCTTTTACTTCCTTGGCTTAAATCCTTGTTCTGGTGGTGTCCTCCAGTAGCCTCCTGAGAAAAGGATAAAAGGAATCTCTACATGTCTACAATCATACCTGATTAATATTCCATATGGAATCAGACTTCAAGGTAGGGATCATTTTTCCTCAGGATGGAGACTTTGCTTCATTTCCTTGTAGCCCCCAAAGCTGCTGTGGAAAAGTCTGATGCCTTTCGGATTCCTGATCCTTTATAATGAAACCTGCTCTGTTCCTCTCTGGGACTTTGAGCATCTTGTCCTTGCCGGTCTCATGTGCCTGGGTGCAAGCCTGTGATCATTCACTGTGCTGGGCACTGGTGGGTCCTTTAAATCCAAAACTCATGTCGTATCATTCAGAAAATTGTTACTGAATTACTATTTTATGTTTTCTTCCCTCCAATTTTCTTGGTTTTAACTCTACGCAAGTCTTACTATTCTATTATTCTCTTGGCTTATTCCTCTAATTTTCTTTCTTTCTTTTTAACTTATTTTTGAGAGAGGGGCGCCTGGGTGGCTTAGTCGGTTAAGCGTCTGACTTTCGCTTAGGTCATGATCTCACGGTTCGTGGGTTCGAGCCCTGCGTCGGGGTCTGTGCTGACTGCCAGCTCAGAGCCTGGAGCCTGTTTCATTCTGTGATTCCCTCTCTCTCTGACCCTCCCCTGTTCACGCTGTCTGTCTGTCTCTCTCTCCTAAAAATAAATAAAACATTAAAAAAATTTTTAAATTTATTTCTGAGAGAGAAAGAGATAGCATGAGCAGGGGAGGGTCAGAGAGAGGGAGACACAGAATCCGAAGACAGGTTACAGGCTCTGAGCTAGCTGGCAGCACAGAACCCGACGTGGGGCATGAACCCACAAACTGTGAGGTCATGACCAGAGCCGGAGTTGGACGCTTAACCAGCCGAGCCACCCAGGCGCCCCTATTCCTCTAGTTTTCTTATCTTTTCTCTCATTTTCCATCTCTTTTGTCTTTCAGCTCTACTTCCTGTAAGATTTCCCTTTCTTTAATTCTTTTGAATTCTTTTTAATTTTTTTTTGCTTTCATATTACTTAGCATCCAGGGAGACATACACACATACATTGCAATATAGTACCCCTGCCCTCAACTGTGCCTCATGATCCCTAGCTAAGAGACTCTCTGTTTTATCTCCTCCAGAGAATAAAACTCCAGTCTTGGGGGATGGGCATGAAAAGGGATTCAGGGGTCCAACTGCTTCTTTTTTTTTTTTTTTTATGTTTTATTTATTTCTGAGAGAGAGAGAGAGAGTGTGAGCAGGGGAGGCTCAGTGAGAGGGAGACACAGAATCTGAAGCAGGCTCCATGCTCTGAGCTAGCTGTCAGCACAGAGTCTGTCACGGGGCTCAAACCCACAAACCGCGAGATCATGACTTGAGCCGAAGTCAGACGCTTAACTGACTGGGCCACCCAGGCGCCCCTCCAATTCCTTCTTAAAAAGACTTTCAATTGATCTTTTTTTTTTCTGCCTCCACCTCCACTTCTACATGTGCTTGGTGCTGCCCATTCCAGAGCCTTTTGTTCTGTGATATAATCTAAGTTGTAGTTCAGCCTTTCCCTGTGCATTTTAGGGTTTAGCTTTCTTGGATCTGCTAAGTCAATTATCACTTGTCCATTTGCTATTCTGATTCCAACTTTGTTGCCTTTGTCTTCTTTACCATTCTTTGTCGCAGTGCTTTTATGCCCTAAAATAAATAAATAAATAAACAGATAGATAAATAAATAAATATCCCTGTAACTGTGATTTCACTGTGGAATGTCTTTTGGGAGACAACACAGAGGCCAAAGCCTACATCCAACTTGCCATCTTTACCTGGCAGTTTCTCCAGTTCCTAGTATATTTCCTAGCACATAGTAAGTGCCCAGTACAGATTTGTTGGTTGAATTGAGTCTTAGAGATACTGTCTTTTCCATCTTTGGTAACCCAAAGGTGAAAACCCTTTAAACGGAAGTCTTTTTAGTTATGATGTTTACTGCATCTCAGCTTGGAGTTCAGCAGTCTATCTAAATTATATATTAGGCAATATCGTGTGGTGTAAAAAGTTGGAACCTGGGCTCCACTCGCCACTGAATTGTGTGGCCTGGGACAAGCTACTACCACTTGCCAGACTTAGTCTGCCCTTCTGTAAAATGGGAACAATAATACAAGTGTCTTCTTCAGTGCCTACGGCATGGGAAGCTCTCAATATTTGTGGTGTTTAAGAGTTCAGTACCAAGGCGACAATTCTTAGAAGTCAGTGTTTTACTTAAGCTTAAAATTAGCCTTCACACTTGAATTGCAAATTGGTTCCTAATTAATGCCCGTCAGAGCAAAAATCTGTGTTTAACTTGAGTTGATGATTAGACAGAGATTACAAAATCTTGTCAGCGGAGAGGCAACTACTGTTGCTTACCGAGGGTCTACAATGGGCTAGTGCCCCGTCCTCGGTCAGGCCGGTGGATCTAGAACTTAAGCTGGGAATTATTGTTAAGTATTTACCGTGTCTGACCTGCAGACCCCGTGCTGAGCGACCCTTCACTCAACTGTGAGTTTCACTAACGCCGCGCTCAGTCCCTGGCCTCTGTACTGGCTGGTTGCAAGGCGTTCAGGGTGGGAGCCCAGACCCTTAGACGGCTCTAGCCAGAACCCCCTGGGCCAACCACCGTTCGCTGCAGGGGTTTGCACAACACATCTTGGTCTTCACTGGTAAGTCTCCCAGCCTACCTGCAGAGGACCCCACTTCCTCCAGAAGAGAAGCTAAGGCAGCGCCCTGGGAAAGCAATTCCGTGTCCTTTAAGTTCACTTTGACCCTCCCCTTAGCCCCCATTCCTCTCGGTCCCCACGACCCCGCCCTCGCAGGAGGGGATCCCAAGGCTTGCAGAGAGCCTTCGGTGCCCCTGCGCACAGGCAGGTAAGGGCGGGGTCCGAGGAGACGGCGCCCCGCCTCGCCCGAGGCCCCGCCCCCCAAGGCCCCTAGGCGCGAGCCGCCGCCTCTGTCTCGCCCTAGCCGCGGAGCGCCGCCGAGCGGCAGGCGGAGGGGCGCTCGCTCCGCCCCCTCCCGGCCCGCCGCGCCGGCTCCCGCCTCCTCCTCTCTCAGCCTGCTCCCGCCTCCCTCCCTTTCCGCTGCCGAGGCGGCGGGAGCCGATCCCGAGCGGACCGAGTCGCCGCTGCAGCCGAGCGGCGGGCTCAGAGGAGGAGGAGGAGGAGGTGGCGGCAGCGGGACGGGCCACGGGCGGGCAGTCAGGCGGCGGCGGCGGCGATGCGGCGGCCCCGCTGAGCCGGCCAGCTCCGGGCGCCGGGGGCCGGCCGCGCGAGGCGGCTCGGGCCAGGCGGCAGCATGCGGAGCGGCGAGGAGCTGGACGGCTTCGAGGGCGAGGCCTCGAGCACCTCCATGATCTCGGGCGCCAGCAGCCCGTACCAGCCCACCACCGAGCCGGTGAGCCAGCGCCGCGGGCTGGCCGGCCTGCGCTGCGACCCCGAATACCTGCGCGGAGCGCTCGGCTGCCTCAAGGTCGCCCAAGTGGTAGGTGCCGGGCGGGGCCCCAGGTGCGGGCTGGCGGCCTAGCCGGGAGTCTTCCCTTCCCTCTCCCGCTTCGGGGGCTCAGGCCCGGCCGGCCACCGCCGCGCACCCGCTTCCCGGGGCCAGACCCCAGTTCCTCACGCCCTCTTCCTCGCAGGATCCTGGGCCGCCCTTCCTTCCACCTTCCTTAGGGAACCTGCCCTCTCCAGACCTGCAGGCTCAGCTGTGCGCCTCCTACCTGAACACCTGCCCCCGGGCCTACCTGTCCACTCCCGCCTTCGCTGTCGCGAGCCTTTTTCACTATTGGGCTTGGTGGTCCGCGGAGCCCGGCGCGAAGGTCATGCTGACCCCCGAATAACTACTGGTCACGCAATTTGTGGCAGGTTTTCGGGGCCCGCACAACCTCCACCTCCCCTGAAGGCCCTTCTCTGTATGTGTGCTTCCACCACTGGGGACTGTGGCTTGGCTTCCTCCTCCGCACCTAGCAGAGCGCTGAGCCTACGGTAGACGCTCAGTAAACGTTTGTTGAATGGAAGCATGTAGCCTACATGCAGTGGGGGTGCCCAGATCTAACCCCCAAAGTCTCCAGTTTATACCGCAGAGGTTTGATTCCACCTGGTTAACCTAGAAGATAGAACGAACATCCCTGAGTCCTCCGCCCCAGCGCAGTGGCTGGCATTGCCCAGTTGGTACCCAGAGTTAAATCACTGGAGGAGGGCAGCCAGTTTTTGGAGGCAACAGGCAACTTTCTGTCGGACTTGTGATAGTAGAGATCATGTCTCAATTATTTTCAGCTTCCAGGGTGTGCAGGGTAGCGGCCTGGCACCTCTGCCCCTCTTTCATGGTTTTTGTAACAGGCCTCTCCTGGCTCTCTTGTGGACAGGGCACGCTCCAAATTCAGCAAAAACTGTGTTCCAGTGTTATACCCTGTCACAGGTAGGCCTTCCTCTGAGGCCCGCAGCAAAACTTTATAGCCTTCTTTATAACCATTTGCACGGAGCCGGAGCCGCAGTCGCAGCCGCAGTGTGTGTACATTTTGTTTCTTCCAAGCATTGGGCTTGTGCTTACTTGAGTCCATAGATAAACGTCCTTTGGGAATAATATAAAATGGGGACACCCTTGAAATAAAGGTCTCAGTGTTTGTAAATTGCAGAATCATAGACAATTTTCTCTCTCTCTGGTGAAAGGCTTGTTCTGCTGATTGCCAGGGGATATTTTTGAAGGGCTCTAAGGAAAGACAAATGGAATGGGTTATCCCCTACCTAGAATTTTAAACTGACCTTATCCAGTAAGCTGGAATGTCCTCAGAGATATGTTGGTTCTGTAGTTAGGCATTGCTGTTAGCAAAGAGAATGGAGGAGGTGGGGGAGGGCGGGGGCTGGTGGTGGTGTCTAACTGCCTTTTAAAAGGCAGCTAGCCAATGTTTGAGTATAGCACAGATAATCAGAAATAAGTAAAAAAGAGCGGGGTGTGAACTTGGACTCAGGTAGAACATAGGGCCTTGTTAAGTACCTTGCTTTGTTTATTCGGTAGACTTTTGAAAGTAAATAGACCTTGCCACTAGAAGGATCTGGTAAAAGAATGAAAGTCGGTAGTTGTATACAACGCTAATTGCCATCTCATTGCTGGAACTTGGTTACCTAAGGCCAGAAATGGAATCCAGTGATAATTGTTTCTGCCTCGTGGTAAGGTGCTGTTGTGTTGTAGAAATTTACTTTTCATCTGGAGAAATTTGAGGTCCCAGCCCCTAAAATCTCACCTAACTCTGCCATTTGTCTAATGTGTTGGATTTAAACAGCGAGAGGATGTGTGGGTCAGTGAAAAAAGACCTGCTTGATTGAAGGTTATGGCAACTAGAAACAGTCTTCCATGTACGTACATGACTTCTCAGCCTTGATATAAGTCAGGGTTTTTAGGGGAGAAAACCCTCAAAGCTCCAAGAAATTGGACTACAGATTTAAAAAGAAGTCATTATGAAGATACATTTAAGATGTTACAAAGCTCAAAATCCCATGAAGAAATATGGATAAGTTATAATTCTTATATTAGAGTTTATATTATGGTTAACTTACTGTTTTTGAGAAAAATTTGAGTTTTTTTCATTTTAGTGTTTAATGGACTTTTTTTTTTTTTTTTTGTGGTTTGTGGCCTATGGCAACCTGTTGCCATCCTTGCTACTTCACCTGTGGTCCACAGAACAGCAGCATTGCCAGCATCAGAGAGCTTGTTAGAAATGCAGAATCAGGTGTGCCTGGGTGGCTCAGAGAGTTAAAGGTCTGACTTTTGATTTTGGTTCAGGTCATGATCTCATGGTTTGTGAGTTCAAGCCCCACATTGGGCTCTGTGCTGACAGAGCAGAGCCTGCTTGAGATTCTCTCTCTCTTCCTCTCTCTCTAACCCTCCCACATTCTGTTGCATACTTTCCCGCTCTCTCAAAATAGATAAATAAACTTTAAAAAAAAGAAAGAAAGAAATGCAGAATCGAGGGCTTACCCTAGACCTTCTGAACGATAATCTGAAGTTTAACAAGACTCCCCGAGTCATTCACATGCACTTTCAAGGTTCAGACTTACCTTTCTGTATCATTTAGTGTTAATGCCTCATACAGGTGCTAGTAATCAGTTCTCTATCAGAACCATTAATAGTCAACCTCAAGTCTGAGGTTTTCCTTTTTTTTTTTAATTTTAAATGTTTTATTTATTTATTTTTTAAAAATATTTTTTATTTATTTCTAGGAGAGAGAGAGAGAGACAGCGTGAGTAGGGGAGGGTCAGAGAGAGAGGGAGATACAGACTCTGAAATAGGCTCCAGGCTCTGAGCTGGCAGTCAGCACAGAGCCCGACACGGGGCTCGAACCCACGAACCGCAAGATCATGACCTAAGCGAAAGTCAGACGCCCAACCGACTAAGCCACCCAGGCGCCCCTTAAATGTTTTATTTATTTCTGAGAGAGAGAAAGAGTATGAGCAGCGGAGGGTCAGAGAGAGAGGTAGATACAAAATCTGAAACAAGCTCCAGGCTCTGAGCCACCTGTGAGCACAGAGCCCGATGCAGGGCTAGAACACACAAACCGTGAATCATGACCTGAGCCAAAGTAGGATGCTTAACCAACTGAGCCACCCAGGCTCCCCAAGGCTGAGGTTTTTCTGTAAAACGAGCCTATATCTCCTAAAAGGATTAAGAAAATGAGGTGACATGTAGAATTTAGCACCTTGTGTGTTAAGCGCTTAGTTAATGTGTAATAAAAGATAACTATCATTGTTGCAAATTAATGTTTCCTATCTTTAAAGAAACTTGGTGAAATTGCCATCCCCAAATTACAATTATATATTTGAATTAAAGATAGTTTAGTTCCTAGCGATTTAAAAGTTAAATCGATATTTTAAGTGGAATGTTTTTGATAGCAAAACTAATCTGAAATATGAAAATTAGTCAGTGTATTTTCATAGATTAAATTTTTAAAAATGGAATTTATACCTATCTTTTAGTTGGAGAGAATGTCTCATGTGGTTACATAAAACAACAAAATGTACTTTTTGTGGAAAAAGAGTTGGTTTAAACTATTGATTCAAATGCTTTCTTCCTTCTTGTGAATGTGGATTCTATGAGTGCTTATTGGTTTTTAGCTGCCAGACATCGTTTAATGAAATAGTTCATTTAGGTCTTTTGTTTTTTCTCCATCAGCTTGATCGAAAGCAGAGTTTTGCTCTTGGGTTGGTGGAAGAGGGTGGTGGTGGTGGTTGGGGAAGGGCATACTGTCAAATATACCATGATCTAGAACAGTGTCAGAAGAAGACAGGCCTTGGATTGAATAATGACAACAGCAGGCATCCTTTAGTGAGAGCTTGCTCTGTTGTTATCCCTGTTTAATAGAAGAGAAATTGAGGCACACAGGTTGTGACTCCTTCAAGGTCACATGGATAGTGGGTGGTAGTGCTGGGGTTTGAACCCAAGCAGTCTGATTTCAGAATGTGCTCTTTACTGCCTCCCAAACACGTCATTTTGAGTTCCACAGAAAGGGTGACTGCATCGAAGGACATTTCTCTGGTCTTTGGCTACCCTGGTGATGATTTGGGTGACCTTTATATGCTTAAGTGAGACTCACAAGGGTTTCAGTTTCTCATTGGCCATTGTGCAGGTGTGCAGCTCCTGTGAGGTGCCCTGCCCCTCACCCAACAGACCTGTCCACTTCCTCAGTGAGGGGACGGGCCTTCTCAAAAGTGTCAAAAGCAGATTCAGCATTTCAGTTCTAAAAAGACCTCTCTGGGGGCACCTGGGTGATATCTAGAAGTAATAGTGTCTAGGAGTTCCTTACACTATTCTTTCTACTTGTGTAAATGTTTAAAACTTCATAATAAAAAGTTACAGAAAACATGGTTATGTGTTGGGGCACCTGGGTGGCTCAGTCGGTTAAGTGGCTGACTTCGTCTCGGGTCATGGATCTCGTGGTTGGTGAGTTTGAGCTCTGTGTCGGGCTATCTGCTGACAGCTCAGGAGCCTTCTTCGAATTGTGTCTCCCTCTCTCTCTGCCCCTCACCTGCTTGCTTGCTCTCTCTCTGACTCGCTCTCAAAAAATGAATAAAACATTAAAAAAAAAAAAAAGACCTTTCCAGAAGTTCTTTTGCCTCAGACCCTTTTTTCCAGCCCCTCTCATGCCTGATTGACCTTCTGACGTTGCATTGCCTGTGTTTAGGACTTTCTGTAACCAAGTTGGGTGATATAAGGTGTTTAAATTCAAATTTTAGCTCTGCTGATCTTGAAATCTCTTAACCTTACCCTTGTCTTGGCTTCCTCAATAGTATACGGTGGGTAATAATGACGGAGCATTTTAGAATTGTAAGAACTAAGGTTAAGAGGTGTTTTCTTAGGTAACTCAAAGGTAAATGTGTGTATTTGCATTTCAGAGTTGAGTAATAACATATCTTTTATTTGATGGAAACCTGTCAGTTTTTTTTTTTTTTTTTTTTTTTTAATCTCAAGCCAGTAGGGCAAAGTTCCTCACC